CAAACAGAGAATTGTTCAAGGAGCTATGTGATCAAGATGATGGATCTGTGCTGCTACGAAACAACAAATCTTGCAAAATTGCAGGTATTGGATCTGTGAGATTCAAGCTCTATGATTAGTCAATAAGGTTATTGACTGAAGTCAGGTACGTACTTGACTTGAAGAGAAATTTGATTTCTCTTGGTGAATTCGACAGAAAAGGATACGTTTTTCAAGGAGAGAAAAATATCCTAAGAGTCATGAAGGGGTCGAAGGAAGTCTTGAGAGGCGTGAAGAAACAATGCTTGTATACCCTTGAGGCTAAGGTTGTAAGTGGTTCGACAAATGTTGCATCCATAAAACTTATGTCGAAGACAGAATTATGGCACATGAGATTGGGCCATGTCAATGAAAGAGGCCTAGTCGAATTGAGGAAGCAGAACCTGCTAGGAGGTGACAAAGTTGAAAAGTTGGAATTTTGTGAATCTTGTGTATTTGGTAAATCCTGTAGGGCGAAGTTTAACAAAGGCAAACAAAGAACACATAGATCCCTGGATTACATTCATGCTGATCTTTTGGGGCCTGCAAGGAATCCTTCACACTCAGGTGCAAGGTATTTTCTATCCACCGTTGATGACTATTCCAGAAAGCTACGGGTATTCATTCAGAAGACGAAGGATGAAACTTTTGAGAATTTCAAAAGTTGGAAGATTCTGGTCGAAACTCAAACTGGCAGAAAGGTTAAGAGGTTGAGAACCGACAATGGCCTTGAATTCTGCAATGAAGCGTTCAACAGTTACTGTGTTGAGTCTAGGATTGCAAGGCATAAGACTATAGCAGGTACTCCTCAACAAAATGGCTTAGCTAAGAGATTCAATCGAACAATCCTTGAAAAGGTAAGATGTATGTTGGTTAGTGCTAGATTGAAGAAGGTGTTTTGGACGGAAGCTGTTTCGACAGCAGCTTACCTGATAAATAGATGTCCCTCGACTGCCTTGGGAATGAAGACACCTGAAGAAGTTTGGTCGGGACACCCACCTAGTCTCGACAGACTGAGAGTATTTGGTTGTGTGGTTTATGCTCATATTAGGCAAGACAAGGTCGAACCTAGAGCTCTGAAATACATGTTCATGGGATACCCTGAAGGAGTCAAAGCTTATAGGCTATGGTTCCTAGAGCCAGGTCACAGGAGGTGTATCACCAGTCGAGATGTAGTTTTCAATGAAGCAGAGATGACTTTCAAGAAAACTGATAATGCTGACGAAGAGCTGGAACAGAGCGAGATTCCTATTGAGGTGGAGCATGTTGATGCTGAATTACTTACCCCAGATGAAGTCGAAGAAGATGCAGAAGATGTTACCGAAGATGAGGAGACTGATAATGACTACCTGCTAGCAAGAGACAGGTCGAGGAAAGTCATCAAGTCACCCCAAAGACTTGGGTATGCAGATCTTATAGCTTATGCCTTAATCTCTGCTAGTGAAGTTCTAGATAAAGAACCTAGAGACTATAAGGAAGTTATGAGGAGTCGAAATAAGACCGAATGGCTGAAGGCCATGGATGATGAGATGAAATCTCTTCATGATAACAACACCTGGGAACTGATAAAGAAACCTGCTGGAGCCAGGTTAGTCAGTTGTAAATGGATTTTTAAAGTTAAGGAAGGAATCGAAGAAGTGGCATCAAAGAGATACAAGGCAAGATTGGTTCCTAGGGGGTTCACTCAGAAATAAGGTATCGGCTTCAATGATATGTTCTCTCCTGTTGTGAAGCACAGATCCATTCGAATGTTGCTTGTCGTGGTGGCCCAGTTCGACCTTGAACTGGAACAGATGGATGTGAAAACTGCGTTCTTGTATGGTGATCTAGATGAAACAATCCTGATGAGGCAACCTGAAGGGTATGTCGAAAGGGGGAAGGAAGAGTATGTGTGCAACCTAAATAGATCTTTATATGGACTGAAACAATCTCCTCGACAGTGGAATATGAGATTCGACAAGTTCATGACACACATAAGTTTCATCAGAAGTCAGTTCGACCACTGTGTTTACTTCAGATTTTGACCGGGTAATTCATTTGTTATTTTGTTGCTCTATGTGGATGATATTCTAATAGCAAGCAACAATGTCAAAAAGGTAATGAGGGTGAAGGCTGAACTCAATAAAGAGTTCGACATGAAGGATCTGGAAGTTGCGTCCATGATTCTTGGGATTGACATCTGGAGAGATAGAAAGCAGTCGAAATTATGCTTATCTCAAGAGGCATACCTACAGAAGGTTCTCGTAAAGTTTGGTATGTCGAAATTAAAGCCTGTTGTGACTCCGACAAACCCTCAATTCAAGCTGAGTATAGATCAGTGTCCCAACACTGATGTTGAAAGAACTTATATGAATAGCATTCCATATGCTAACATAGTAGGTTCTTTGATGTATGTTATGGTTTGTACTAGACCCGACATAGCATATGCAGTAAGTCTTGTAAGCAGGTACATGGCGAATCCTGGAAAGGCTCACTGGCAAGCATTGAAGTGGATTTTAAGGTACATAAATGGGTCTCTGAATAGAGTCCTAATTTATGGTGGAGCCTTGGGTGAAGATAGTAAAGCAGCAATCGAAGGATATGTCGACTTTGATTATGCAGGTTGTATGGATTCTAGAAAATCTATCTCTAGATATGTGTTCACTATGTTTGGGACAACAATCAGTTGGAAAGCAACACTTCAGAAGGTCGTTGCCTTATCAACCACTGAAGCGGATTATATTGGCCTAACTGAAGCTGTGAAAGAAGCATTGTGGCTTGAAGGTTTTGCAAAGGAGTTAAAGCTTCAAGGTCGAGTTATCACTGTTAAATGTGATAGTCAAAGTGCAATACACCTATCGAAGAATTCAACCTATCATGAGCGAACCAAGCACATTGATGTGAGGCTGCATTTCATCAGAGGGGTAATCGAGCGTGGAGAAGTCCAAGTGTTGAATGTTTCGACAGATCATAATGCTGCTGATATGATCACCAAGACGTTGACCAGCTGCAAGTTTTTCCACTGTATGCAGTTAATAAAACTGCATGAAGAAAGCTAGTTTCTTGATGTTACAGAGTTAGATCCAAGATGGAGATTTGTGAGATGTTGGATCGAACTCTAGTATGTTCGAAGTCTGTTCGCGAGTAATGCGTGTTGTAGTCGAAGTTTGTTCTAACATGCATTAGTCAATATTGCTAGGGTTGTTAGCATGTTGAATTGGGTCTTACTTGTAAGCCCAATTGTTTAAGTTAGCTTGTACCCTAAGTTAGCTTGTAATGGGTAATTGTTAAAAAGTTCATTATGTTAGTGTGCTATTTTTCTTATAAATAGGATACTAGTTTCTCAATCTTGATTCACGTACTGACAACTCTAGGTTTCTCTTACTCTTTTTTTATTCTAAACCTAATTATTCCAACTCTCTAATAATTATAATTTTCTCCCCTCATATTATATTTTCTCTCTCCTTAATCCCTTTATTTTCTCTTTATGCCAAAACAGCCCAAACTCCACCAATTCTCATTATTCCTTCTTTATTTAACTAATTAATTAAAATAATTATAATTATTTTAATTATTCTCATTCCCCACCCTCCCCAGGCTCTCACTACACCCTATCTATGTCCCACATCTACATATACAACTCAACATACATATTTATTTAAAAGCACACCAAACACCAAATAATCAAATAAAATACAAACAATTCGATTAATTAAATTAATCAAATTTTATGGTGTTATATCAGACAAAGACCTAAGACCCACTACTTTGCGCCAACCAGAGACTCAATAGCACGAGGCCCATTATCTAACATACTTCGTTAGGTCCAAGGTATAAATACCTTCGTAAAAAGTTCTAAGGTACATAATCTCTAATCTCCACTTTCACATTCACCTATCTTTAATCCTAAACTGACTCGAACGTCAGAGTACTAACCTATCTTCTAAGATTTCACATCTGATTCTCAAATTCAAACTCTAAAGAGATCTCCTACGAAAAATCAAAGTTTCACGAAGTCTAAATCTCATATCTGTGTCCTTAGGATCCAAAAAAAAACAATCTTTCCTTCCTTTTACAATAGGGGAAGGTTTTATAATCAACATAATAAACAAAAAATAATGTAATAAATATACTAAATATAATATTATCTATTTAATAATTATTTTATTTTAAAATTTATTATTTATAATTACGTAATTATTTTTTTATTTTAAAATTATTTATTTATAATTATTTTAAAAATAATTATTTATAATTAATTAAATATAATAAATAAAAACGAAAATTAAAAAAAAATCAGACCCTCTGCCGCCCAATGGATGGGCGGTTCCCATCAAAGAATCCAACAGTGCCGCCCAATGGATGGGCGGTTATGTTGTGCCAAAAATTTATTTTTTTGAAAGTATGGCATTTTGGTATTTGTTTGTATAAGTGTGACATTTTGAAATTTATGTTATAATAGTAGGGCAGGAATGTAAAAAATTCTAGAACCAAACAGGGGAAGGTTTGATTCCCCATAAACTTTCTTGCCCTCATCAATCTTTCCTCTCATTTTCACTCATAACAAACACAATGTAAATTTGAACATCATAATTATGACGGTTGGTTCAATAGTATCACTACACAATTCCAAGGGTAAACTTATACTATCTCTCCCATGCTTTACTCCAAATTATTTTGCCACTTCATTAAATAAACTTCTCTCTCTACTCTTTTTTCTCTCCTACTTTATCTCACAATCACAAACACACAATTCACTGAAGACGAGGCACACATTACTTTTCCTCTCTATGATATCTATCTATCTACCTTCTTTTTACACTGACCAACACAACAACTGTACAGTCATCACACAGTACTAGTACTATCACAAACAAACAACCTCATCATTCCCATTCCATGTTTCCTTTAACCTCTTTTGTCTCGTTTCAAACAATCTCACTTTCCTCTTCATCTTCACCTTTCTCATTCTCATTCTTATCTTCACTCATCAGTCCAAAAATATGAACAACAAAACCCAAAACCTAAGGCGTGGAACCAACAAACGACGACACACAAATAAACTCTTTGGTGGTAAACAAATCACACATCACCAACTCATTTTTCGTTTCTTTCGAAGCTAACAAACAAAACCCATTTCAGCCCTTTGTCGTTTTTTCCCTCTTTTCTTATTAAGACTTTTATTTGTAGATAACGCTTCTCACTTTCTCTCCTTTGTTATCTACTATCTCACTTTCTTTTTTTTTCTTTCTCACACATAGTTTTCGGTGCTGCTGCTATCAAATTCTTGAAGAAATCGAAGAAACAAGAAAAAGTTAGAAGCTTGAGTGCTGTCAATGAAATGGGTTGTGAAAAACAACAACAACATCAAGACCCAAAGAGATTTAAGATTCCCAATAATGTAAATTTTTGTTGTAAATTTCTAAATTTATGAACTTTTTATGCTTACTAATTATGGGTTTTTTTTTTCCTTAGTTTTTGAATGGATGCTATGGTGCGTCTGTTCCAAGGAAGCTACGTTCTGGTTAGTGTGGTTTTCTTATTCAAAATTAAATCTTTTTTGAATTAGACTTGAAGCAATGTTTGAAACTTTTGCTTTTTCTTTGTCATGATTGTTACACACTTAAAACTCTTGATTATGTGTCTTTTTTTCTCTGTTTGTCAATTATTGCAACAAGTATATCTTTTCAGAAAGAGACAGTAACAGCTTTTAATTAACCAAAGGGTCATTTTGGTGATTAAGTTTACTCAGTATTTGTTTGGATTCATTGATCATATTAAGCAGTTAAGTTCATTCCATAAGCTGTTTGTGTTTTATTTGTTATTATGTTATAGGTTTATAGTATTCAGAGTACTCAACCTGAAACCTTGCTTGTTTGTGTTTGTTTGCAATGTCAATATTTGTTTTCTATGTAAAAATTAAATTTGAAACTGCATGGGAATAATAGAAGTAAAAGTTATCTCAAACAAGTTATGAACACATTCTATAAGTTGTTATAAATATTTACAAAAGTGCTTTTGAGGATAAGCTTTTATAAAGCTCACATGTCTTGCTCTTTAATCTAATCTATTGTTATGATTCTTTTTGTCTCTTATTTTGCTTAAAAGAAGCGTGAGCTTTATTCCTACTTTTCCTTTTAAAATTACAGCCATGAAGAAGCGCGGTCGCGAATCCATCTTACTTGATGCAGAAAAGATGAACCATAAGAACAATGGAATAGAATCTTCAGAAAAGGATAATGTAAAGAAGTCAAAAGTGAGTATTGTGAGTAAGACACTTGTGGTTTCTGTTGATTCCAATTTCAAAAACTTGGCCTTTTGCTTAGTTTTCCAAGCATTTGTTTTTCTCCTTTAACATGGAATTTTACTTTACGTAGAAACAGGAAATTAGCCAAAAATTGTCCCGAAGAGAAGGAGGTTTTGGTTCCATCACAAAAGACGAGGAAGAGGTAGCTGAGACTCTATATTCTTTGGCTGCAATGTTCCCTGAGAGTGGCTCCAATCATGTTAGTAAGGAAATATATGGAGAATCTTTGATAGAGAACTCTTCAGTTTTGCAGGACAAGAAGGAGAATGTTAATGCTGCACTCGAAGGTTAATCTCACCTTTATCTATTACGTAAGAGATTAATTGTGATGCAATGTCGGTGTAATTCTAGTTATTAACTCATGCATTTTGATTTTCCATTTCCTTTTGCCATACATTCTAGAATCAGTAACCGATCAGGGTGCAAGTCTTTGTCCTGAAAGTTGTTTACCTGGAGAAGCTTCAAAAATTACTTCTGTAAATGAAACTACTGGTCAAGAACATTCTGAGAAGGCGAGTTTATTGGTGGCATCTCATAGCAGTACTCCATCGATAAATCTTCAGAGCATGCCTGAGATGGTTAAGCGTGAATGTTGCAAAAAAATTGCATTGCACGACTCTGAGTTATGGCTAGCAATGGGGTGAGTATTTTTCGGTTGCATTCTGAAATCTCTATACTTTTCAAGTATTTTGTAATCATTTACATGTTTTGTCATCATTTTTTAGATTAAATATAACCCGACAATCACAGATTTCACAACACAAGAAGAAACCAGACGTCGAATTAGACTCGGTAGGCATTTTCAAATTTCACAGTTTGTATGGTTCTGCCAAAAACTCTTATTTGTGAGCTAGTGTAACTGATTATTGGCGTGATCGGTTAAATTTCAGGTCAGATATGTTGATAACAAGCAAAAACAGCATTTGATTAAGGAACATATAAAAAATGGTATGCTTCCCCTAAATAGCAAAATTATAGGCTAAAGTTTTTTACATCAATGCGACTAATTCTTAAAGTTCTTTCTGTTGTTTTATCAGAAAGTCTTGCATTGTGGCCAGGCTTGTCTTCAGTGTCATCTGCTGTTAGTCATAAAAGATCACGGAAAAGGTGTGCTACTCATGTTTACATCAGTCATACAATTCGGCGTTTAGAGGTGTCAAAACAAGGAGCTATCAAAGAGTCCAAGCTTCACGAATGTAATGAAATGAGAGTGCCCAATGGGTCAAATCGTGAAATTCTTTCTGAAGTACACAACGTGAACGGAATGAGAAATAGAGCTATGCGTGCTACTGTGAGGAATACTAATGAAAGTAAGAATGGTAGTATTCCTTCGCAGCAATGCCACTATGGTGAGATAACACAGACTACTCCAACACCTGGAGTATATGATTCTCAAAAGCAAGTAAGCTAAGCTAAAGGTTACTGTTGGTAACAATGCCTTCTCTTATCCCCTTTTCATGCTCTAATAACAGTCTTTATTATGCAGAGTTTCAACTTCTTGTCTTTGTCAACCGGAAGTTACGGATTAAAGGTCGACAATAACAATTATAATAAAGTTGTAAGTAGGTTGGAACCATTGTCAAATTTGCAAGTACCTTATTTTCAGTCACTAGCACAACAACAACAACAAAGGGTTGTGCCAAATCCTACGCATCAGAATCGTTACGCCGCCTCGACAGTTTACCTTGATCAGTTGTCTGTTGTAGGACCGCAGGTATTAATATTGGTTAATCTTTCTTTGTTACAAAACAAGAAACAAAATCTAGGGACCAACTTCCATAGTCTATGTTTCTAATAATATGAAATGAGGTGGCTAAAGTTTGTTCCTCACAATGAATTGATAAACTACTCCAACAACCAAAGACCATAAAACACGCAATTCAATATCCTCATAAATACATGTCTTGAACTTATTACTATTATATCATACACTACTCTAATGGGTTTCTATAATGCTTTAACTATTTGCAGCTTCGGTTGCAACAACCTCATTATTATGGTAGCCAGTTATGTGGAACTCAATATAGTTCAACAGCCACAAATAGTAAGCAAGACCACCAAAACTTTTGGGGGATGCAGCAACAAGTAGCTCAGGGCAGGTCTTCCGTCAATTGCAATGTTGCTATGAGGACCCAAAATCCTAATTGGCAGAGTGGAAGAAGTGAATCTTCTGCAATGGTTCCTTGTGCCCAAGCCATTTTTCCTCATACCTCTGTATCACAAGAAATATTCGGATCGAAAATCGCCGGACGACAACAGCAGCTCATTTCCCCCATCCAAGACAAATGGGCAAGATCTTCTTCATCTCAATACTATATTTGAAGAAATTAGAGACAGGTTCTTATGCATTGGTACTCAATACTATATTTGAAGAAATTAGAGACAGGTTCTTATGCATTGGTACAACAAGTGTTAAACCTGTCGGTCACACTTGTTGCATATATATTCAGTGGTACTAGAAAGGAAGGATATAATCTATATATATTCAGTGGTACTAGAAAGGAAGGATATAATCTTTTTAATCTCCATAGTGAAAATGAAACACTTACACAACACTATTAGTTCTATATTATCAAAAAATATTATTTTAAAATTGTTTAATTATATATTACTATTATCCAGTTGTATATTTCTGGTGTGTTGCAACAAAAAAATACAGAATGAAAAAAGGTTACTAAAAACTGACTTCATGAATGTCTACAATATATTAACACAAGCCAAAAGAAGCCTTGGTAGTGTACATAATACATGGCTCAAGGGAGAAAATATCAAAGTTTTGTATCGCATATCACATTAAAATACAAGAATCACTCCAAATGCTCAAGTACATCATCAGAATCTCCAAGCCATTGTGACTCTGCTGAACTGCTATGTTTCACTCTAGTTTTTCAAGTTCCCCCATTCTTTCAATGATAGCCTGCAAGCACAAAAAACAAGTTAGTTTGGTTCCCGAACTTAGGTTTTCTGTGTCATAAATTTACAATCAATATGCACAAATAAGGCAAGGAAATAAGCCCAAAATCACTAAGCTAATAACTATACAGCTCAAATTTCAATTCAGTATGGTAACACCAGTAAGCAGTAACACCAAAAGAAAATGTATATACCTTCTTGCTTGTTTCTTGCAATTCACCCGCTAGAATGAATTCATCAAGTATAAGGTATACCTTCAAGTCAGATAAAATAAAACTAAATGAGCAAGGAACAGCAACAAAAAAATATCTTAAGAAACAATGAGATTCAATATTGTAATCAATCATCATTCCAATCCCATCCCTCCACAATCACTAACTTCACTTAGACAAAAAAAAAAAGACATAAAATATGTAGAGCACAGTAAAACTTGGGAAATACATATCTACAACACAAACAGTGATGAAGTTGCATATAAGGAATGCTCAATTAGAAACTAAACAACAAAAAGATTGTATAGAAAAAAGGGCATGGATGAGACAAACTGAAACATTCAGCAAATAAACAAAATGTAGCATAGCAAATGGATCAGTGCAGGCGATGGTTATGCAAAACTCTAATATAAGCCAGAATCAAAATGAAGCAGAAACCAAACAACTAAATCTTACCACATGGATCAAACGACACCAAAATGTTCTTTCTTATATCATGTTTCTGTCAAACTCATCAGACACCAAAATGTTCTTTCTTATATCATGTTTCTATCAAACTCATCAATCTCTAAATCTTTCTTAATAGTTTCTCTAATGATTTGACTATCTCTAAATCTTTCTTAATAGTTTCTCTAATGATTTGACTAACCTCGTCTGATCTACTTTTTATACTACAAAATCTAAATGTCCAAACCACGTAAGCCGAGTTTTCACCATCTTTCTTACCATAGATATTATTCTAATCTAGTTTTACCACACAAATCTAACGCAACATAGACACTAACACGACAACATGAATAACAATTTGAGAATATGGAATAATTGAATGTAACAACCATACATATGTTGATGCTAAATAATCACAATTGATACAGTTATTTAATTAAACGAATTCAACAAACAAAGAAATTGACAAGAAAAAACCAAAAACAAACCTTGTGGAAGTTAAAAACCAAATCAAGTTCACAGACATTGCTGAAGAAGTGATCCAAAATTTCAACAAACAAATGGATACACTCTAAATAGGCCAATTCATTATCAGTAATATCAACACAGAGTGAGAAAAACAATCCAGCATATCTCCTGTATATAACCTTGTGCGTACGAAACTGCAAAAGCAAATTACCCATCAAACAGAATAAAAAAACACAATCTTTAGAATAGAACCCAAAAAATAAAATTGACACCTCAACGAAATTAGTGTATTTGGGATCTCTATTTACAACAAGACGATGAACCTGAAAAATGAAGAAAATAGAGAAAATTAGGTTAAGGGGAGAATATTGTGATATAGGAAGAAATAGAGAAGAAAGAATGAGAAAGTAACCTCGTATTCGACCTTATGTTTCTCGGAATCTTCGAGAGGAACATAGTATTTGGCTAAACGGGTTTTGCCCTGGCGGTTCTGCAACAGAATGAATCGGATCTGCGATTGAAAAGGGGAAGGAAATGGTTATGAAATGAAAAAAGAGAAATTGTTAAGAGTAGAAAGAGAGAGTACCATTTGGTTGAATGATTGAGAAAAAGGAGTGGAACGAAGGATGAATTGTAAGAGAGGAAGATTGATTTTCTCTTCTTCTACAAGAACCGTGAATTCACGGAGACCAACTTTGTTGACTGGCTGACGACGTCTAGGCGAGAATTTTTTTATAATTTTTTTTTCTCCCTCTTTAAAACCCACTTTTAAAATATCGGAGTTACTTCTTAAATTATAAATGGAGTGTCAAATGCATTTGAGTCACTTTATTTTAGGATAAAATATTTTATTTTTATTAATTCGTATATTATATAATATTATAATATTTATTATTAATTTATTTAAAAAATTTCTTATATAAATAGATATCGTCATGGCTTGTATATTCTTTCGAACTTAAATTGTCATTGTCTCTTACAATTTTAGTAGATTCAATCATGTATCTTAGAAGATATGGGCATGTCATTTTTTCAATAACCAAACCTCCGATAAGGATGTTATTTTGGAACACCGAAAGTTTAGAGTAACTACGAAGAAATTTGAATCGTTGGTTAGAAGGAGACACTTCAGATGGTGAAAGAATTAGAAGTATTGAAAGACTTGTTTCGTACTTCTCGATTGCAGATGACAATATACGGCGTGAGTGAGTGCGAATTAAAGATGACAATGACCTCAGGTCTATGATGTTTGAAACTGATGATATTGTTTTGATTGTTGTTATATCTTAGTTATGTTGAATTAATCTCTATATTTTTAATGGTTTGTGTTTGCTTTAGAAGTATTTTAGTTTGTTTTCTTATAACCAAAAGTTGTTATAAATATTAAATTCGAAGGTTACACATTTTTTAATGATAAAAGTAAATCCATCTAGAACTTGTTCTAACACTAGGACAATGTTTCCTTGTATGCCCGAGAATACGACATATTCCACACAATGTTTCTATTTTTTTAGTTGTATCCATTTCGAATCTAATTCGCGTGCTTTTGGGCGGTCCTTTTTGTTTCTTCTCATGTTTTCATTGTGGTAAATTGTGTCCCCTTGATAGGTTGGTCAATAGTCCTCATTAGTTATCACTGGAAAGTTATTATTGTAGATACCGAATAAGTTCACGATCTTGTAAACTTCTGATAGTTACAAGAATTGGTCCTAACGAACACTAGAACATGTCGTAATGAATGTGAACAAGGCATACATAAGGTTTAAAACTTTCCGCAGTCGCACCAATTTTTATAAATTTCCACCTGTAGTATCCCATTGGCCGCCCCTCATTGTGATCCTTTGTCTCGTTAACAATGAAGTTGTAATCGTGGCGGTCAAATACTTTAACTCGATGTAAGGCTGCTTTAACAATTTTCTTCTTCATATATTTCATGCATGTTTCACCGAATAATTTGTCTGATTCCAAAACAACGCTCCATTTTTTACCTCTTGTCGTAAAAAGTGACCCCATTCTATAATAGGTTTCTCTTAGCAACACAGTGATAAAGAGGTTTCTAGTTCCCTTAAATACGCCGTTTAGTGATTCCACTAGGTTTGTGGTCATGTGACCCCATTGACATCTTCCATTAAATGCCCTTGTCCATTTCTCCATTGGAATGCTATCCACCCAGCTTAATGCTTCTATGTTTGACAATCTTATTTCCTCACGGTAATACATGAATGATGGTTATTTTAAGGCATACCCTGCATTCACAACTTTTTTACAGAAATTTTTGTCTTTGATTTCCCGCATAAAATTTTGAGCAATGTGTCTTATGCAGTAGACATGGACAGAAGGAGGATTGTACCAACCATTAGCAGGATTATTGTAAGCGCTCACAATAGAGGCATGTCTGTCGGAAATCAGACATAAGTTAGGTTGCGGGGCGACATGTGTTATGAGATCACCTTCGACCAGAGCAAAGGCAATCGAAAATATATTATTATTTCCGTCTTGTGCAACCGCCATCAGCAATGTTCTTTTGTATTTTCCATACAACCATGTTCCATCGACTTGAATAACAAGTTTGCAGAATATAAAACCCTTGATACACGATTAAAATGCCCAGAAATGACAAGAGAATATCCTACTTCCATCAACACACGTTCCATCAGGAGTGTATGATGGAAGCGACTCAAATATTACAATCGTACTAGGAACATATTTTTGAAGTGCTAGCAAATGCTCTGGAAGTTGATTGTAAGATTTTCCCAATTTCCATATACATGTTCAACCGCTTTAATTTTTGCAATCCAAGATTTCTTGTACGATGGACTATAGTTGAACCATGCAACGACATGAGATAATCGTGTTCACCTTCACAGATGGATCTACGCCCACAAGATGCAAAATCTCTTGGCAGATTAATTGGGAGCTTAGTTTTCCATGATCATGTCGATTAATGTTGGTTGTGCAACTGTGAGGTGGATCAATCGAACCTATCTCCCAACAATCGCTTCTCTTCTGATAAGACACTGCTAACCGAAACTTGCATAGTTTGTTACGACAAACTACGACATAACATTTTGAATCATTGCATTTACTTCAAAATCAACAAAATTTTCCATGTGAAACCTTATTATAGCTTGCATGCACTCTGCTTTTGTGCGGTACTGGTTCCCCATTTTCAAGAGACCTTCGATTTGTTGAGAAGGATTGTAGAACAGATCCGAGGATGGGTCGCCTCCACTCAATTGCAAGTTAGTCATGTACTGTGGAGGACAATAGACATGACTTAATGGTAATGTATCTTCATCTACGTCTTCAAGTGGATCCATCCACAGATAACATCCACTTGCATGATGATTCTTCTAAAATTTGAGCGCTTAACTCGATCAATAAATCAAAGAGGATTTGGGACTTAATGTTACTTTGATGTACAAACTTTATATCATATTTCGAAAACTCTACCACCCAGGCCACCATTCTTCCTACCAAATTCGGCTTCTTCAAGACTTATTTAAAAGGGTAATTGGTTTTAACAATGATGGGGTGTCCTTGAAAATAGTATCTCAACTTCAAGGGTGTAATTACTACTGCCAGCGTGAGACGCTCAATCTTTTGATAACGCAATTTTGCTCCTTTTAGCACCTTACTAACAAACTATACCAACTTTTCTCCCTCCTTAATTTCATGAACTAATACATAATTCATAGCCTTGTATGATACGACTAAATATAGGATAAGTGGTTGATCCTCCTTAGGTCGTACCTAGATGGGAGTTGAGGATAAGATACATTTTACCTCATTAAAAGCATCTTCACATTACTTCATCGATTTACTCACCGCAACGAAGAAATATATCAACTTGTCCTTTACACAAGATAAAAAACAGGATAAAGCAGCCAAACATCTTATTAATTATTGTACCTATTTTACCGCCGAAAGACTCCTCAGATTAATGATTGTTTTTCCTTTATTCGGGTTTGCTTCTATTCATCGGGTGGTTAACATAAACCAAAGAACTTTCATGCTTGTACTCCAAAGGTACATTTGTCGGGGTTTAGTCCCATGTTGTAACCTCAGATTGATGCAAATGTCTCTTCTAAATCTTTGACATGCTTCCTATCTTCTGGGGCTTTTACTACCATATCATCCACTTACACCTCGAGGTTTCATCCTATTTGTGAACCAAACACCATATCCATCAATCTCTGGTAGGTAGCCCCTATATTTTTTATCCCCAAAAGGCATTACCTCGTAGTAGTAATTATTTATGTTCTTCAGAAACGTTGTTTTATGTGCGTATAATGTATTCATTAGTATCTGAATGTACCTTGAGTAGGTATCTAAAAAACTGAGAAGACGAAAACCAGAAGCCCCATCGATGAGTCGATCAATGTGAGAAAGCGAATAAGGATCCTTTGGACATGCTTTATTCAAGTCAGTGAAGTCCAGACACAATAGCCATTTTCCCGATTTCTTCTTTACCATAACTATATTAGCTAACCAAGTCAGATACCTGATCTCCTTAATGAAACTGACCTTCATGAGCTTTTCGACTTCATCTTTTACAACCCTTCTCTTCTCTTCACCATTCTGTTACTTTCCCCGTGCTACTGTCTTGATGTCCGGATCGAGAATTAGATGGTGACAAACTATGCTTGGGTCAATTATGGGCATATCTGTGGGTTTCCATGCGAACAAGTCTATGTTCTCCTTCAATATTCTGATGATCTCGGCTTACTCCTCGGGAGACAAACTAGATCTGATCTGAGTTGTTTGTGATGATTGGGTACCAATCAGTACTACTTTTACATCCTCAATAGATGTAAGACTATCCTCTACCATATCCTCGCTTGAGTCAATATCACCTAGGTTCAATTTCACATGATCATCTCATTGATTTGTTAGTTTAGGCCTTCATTTGGAGTTTCAAATTGTGTTTATAACACTTCCTTGCTAACCCCTGATCACCCTTTACTACTCTTACTCGGCCATCCCCGAGAGGATATTTCAGTGTGAGATACAAACTGGATAACACTAACTCCAAGGAATTAAATGACAGTCTGCCAATAATAATATTGTAGGGAGATGCAACATTGACAATTAAGTACCTCACTTGGACACTTTTCGTGTTTTCCCCATTACCAAAAGTTGTTATCATATGCAAATGTCCCCACACCTGCACTTGTTCTTCTGAGAATCTGACTAAAGTACCTTTAAAGGGTAATAACTCGGTGATATCAAAATTCATTCCCTTGAACGCCTTATAATACAAAACATCTACTGAACATCCCTGATCTACTATAACTCATTTCACGTTCCAGTTCCAGATTCACACTTTGATCACCATCGAGTCATTTTCGTAGGCTAACACTCCTTCGACATCTTTTTTAAAAAAATGTGATTGTGGCATGTTTTCACTTTTCTTCTGAGGGTGACTTCTTCTGACGTGCATCACTGTCTGGGCTTATCTCTTTCTAGCTGAACTGGTTTCTCCTCCTCCTGCGAATCCCCCCATCAATGGTGTTTAATGTATAACAAGTCACTTGGACTTCGTGAACTTCCTCTGCGCTCTTCCCCTTTTTCTGCGTAGGGTTTTTC